ACATGATTGGATCAGACTAGAAGGAAGATTAATGTAGTAGCTAGGTACAGAATAAATCAGAAAACTGTGGATATTGGAGGCAGGAAAATTGGGAAGAAATCACTTATAACACATCCAGATGCTAGATATTAGGAATCTGGGCTCAAAACTGTGGCAATGAGAATGCAAAAGATAGAGTGATGGCAAGAAAAGATGGCAGACTGGATGGGGACACAGAGGAAGAGGGGTATTCAATTATGAAGCTACAACTAGGATGAACTTGAGATGGTAGAAAGGAGGCAAAAGAGACTTTTTTCATGGTGGTGGGGAGACTCTCAAGGGAGGAATACAAGGAGGTGAAATGACAGCATGTCTGTGGTGTGAACATCCATCAGGAGAGGTTTACATTTACAAGATATGTCACTCATGTCACAGAACGTTATATATAAAAAGGATATATCTCTGTGTGTCTGAACAAGAGAGGAAGACTGGGAATCCTTTCATTCACCCAATAGACATTTTCAAGTGCCTCATTTGTGACACTCTATCATGGGAAAGACGAACAAGATACGTTCCTTCTTCTTTACTGACTTCATAGTCCACACTCCAGGACAGACACATAAGTGGAATTGGCAGGATGATAATTTGATGTAGTAACCATGGTGGTGGTTTTCTCCTTTGTAATTTCTGCTGTTGTTCCCTTGTTCATAGAAAGGCAGGGTTGATATAGCAGAGGAGCAAAAGCTCTAAAAAGATTCTTAAAAATTTACAGAATCAATAGTTTGCAAAGATGATTACACCTTAGAAGAAAAGCTATGACCAACCTAGACAGCATATTAAAAAGCAGAGACATCACTTTGCCAAAAAAGGTCTGTCTAGTCAAAGCTATGGTTTTTCCAGTAGTCATGTATGGATGTGAGTGTTGGACTGTAAAGAAAGCTGAGTGGCGAAGAATTGATGCTTTTGAACTGTGGTGTTGGAGAAGACTCTTGAGAGTCCCTTGGACTGCAAGGAGATCCAACCAGTCCATCCTAAAGGAGATCAGTCCTGGGTGTTCATTGGAAGGACTGATGCTGGAGCTGAAACTCCAATACTTTGGCCACCTGATGCGAAGAACGAACTCATTGGGAAAGACCCTGATGCTGGGAAAGATTGAAGGTGGGAGGAGAAGGGGATAACAGAGGATGAGATGGTTGGATGGCATCACCAATGCGATGGACATGAATTTGAGTAGGCTGCAGGAGTTGGTGATGGACAGGGAAGCCTGGCATGCTGCAGTCCATGGGGTTGCAAAGAATCAGACATGACTGAGTGACTGAACTGACTGACTGACTAACTGATCCCCAGGAGTGGGATTACTGGATCATGTGGTAATTGTATTTTTAGTTTTCTGAAGAACCCACCTACTGTTTTCCATAGTGTCTGTGCCAATTTACATTCTTACCAAAAGTGTAGGAGGGTTTCCTTTTCTCCACACCATCTAGCGTTTGTTATTTGTAGACTTTTTCATGAGGGCAATTCTTACTGGTGTGAGGTAGTAACTCATTATAGTTTTGACTTGCATTTCTCTGTTAATCAGTGATGTTGAGCATCTTTTTATGTGCCTAATGGCCATCTCTATATCTTCTTTGGCGAAATGTGAATTTTTCTGCCTATTTTTCAGTTGAGTTTTGTTGTTGTTATTGAGTTGCATGAGCTGTTTTTTAATCAGCGAAGGTTCATTTTTAGAAAGCCATAGTATGAATAGAGAAGTATAGAAAGTGGTGCATCCATGGAACCATCGTTTCCAGAAAGATGAGTCACAGGAGCTCCTTAAGCTAGCAAGGCTCTCTCCACTTTCTGTCTTACTTCGGGAACTCCATACCCAGAGGGAGAATGATATCTTGCTCAGTCTATCAAGGGATATTTAGTAAGTGTCCCTTATGCAGCATGATTTTTGAGATTATAAGAGATTTATTTCCTATGAGGAACAATTTATTTGAGGAGGTGAGACATGTATACAGAATAATGCATCACATAAATAACTATTATGTTTGGGCCCCAGTATTGGAGTGAAAATTGATTTAGGTTGGGGACAGAGTATGTTGGGAAGAAGACATGGAGATGATAAGACATTAAGTAGGATTTTGCAGGCTGGATGGGCTTGAAATTGATGAGGAGGTGGAAGAAGGGAAGTGAAGACCTGGGAAAGATGCATCAGGAGAGGTTTCAAGCATTGTGAATAACAGAATATCCAGATCAGACTGGAAGGATTATGTAGAAGCTGGGTGCAGAATAAGCAGGTGTGTATATTGGAGGAAGGAAAACGGGAAAGAAATTGTTTATAACTCATCCCGATGCTAGATAGTCAGGATCTGGGATCAAAAGAGTGGCAATAAGAATGCAAAAGATGGTGTGAAGGTGAGGAAAGATGGTGGACTGGATGTGGACACAGAGGAGGAGGGATACTCCAAGATGAGGTTTCAGGTGGCATGAACTTTGAGAAGAAGGCAAAACTTTTTTTTTTTTTTCCAATGCTGGTGGAAGGCTCTTAAGGGAGGAATATAAAGTGAAATGACAGCATGTCTACAATGAGAACATCCATCAGGGGAGGTTCACATTTACAAGTCATGCCACCCATGTCATAGAATGCCGTATATATAAAATCTCTATGTATCTTGAACAGGGGAGGAAGACTAAGCTTACTTTCACTCATTGAACACACATTTTCAAGTGCCTCTTCTGTCACTCTGCCACAGGAAAGATGTGGCAATACGTTCCTTCTTATTTACTGAGTTCATAGTCCACACTCCAGGCCAGACACCTAAGTGGAATTGGTGCATGCTATTTTGATATAGGAACCACTATGGGTTGTTCTCCCCCTTGGGCCTTCTAATATTGTTTCCCGGTTCATAGAAAGGCAGAGTTGATACAGCAAAGTAGGAGAAGTTCCAAAGTAAATTCTTAAAAATTTAAGCGTCAAGAGTCTGTAGCAGCCTCAGCCTTTTGAGTACCCAGACTCAAAGTTTACAGCGAAAGCCAGGCTTGATCCTGTAAGAACCAGTTTCACTGCCCCAGCAAGGAAGTGTTCTGCTGGGCCAAGTAAAGCAGGAGGAGACAGGCTCCGGGAGAGGAGAGCGGAGAAGGAAGGGCGCCTTGCTCTGTGCTCCGGACTGGGTTCTCAGCTGGGGATGTGATACAGATGGACCTGCAGAGAGGGCAGAAGCTCTGAGAACAGAAGAACTTCACTTTGTTTTCTCTGAGAGGGAGTGAGTCTTGCAAACTGAACACCCAGTCTTCTCACCCTCCTGCCACCTACCCACCCTCTTGGGTGTGGTGAGGAAGCAACAGAGAAAGACTATCTCAGTGGGCAAGTTGAATCAGTTTCCCAGAGCCACAAGGTAGACAGGTGTGTTGGGGGCTAGGAGAGCTGTGGTGCTCAGGAGAGCAGGGTCAAGGCGAGGACCAAGGACCAGAGACCAGCTGGTTCTGCAGACATCACAAGAGATGCTGGCAACAGATGCGGGTGATAGGAGGCTACGGGAATGATGGCATCTCCACCAGTGCCAGTGTGGACAGAGGCCAGCTGAGGCCCAGATGAGGCACTGGAGGCTTTAGAGAAATGACGTGACCGTGTTTTTATTTCAGAACCACTGTTCTGGGTGAATGTAAAGAACGGCCTGGGGACTGGCTCCCCCTGGAGTTCCTGCTTCTGGAGCTTGAGTGTTTCCTTCTCTCTCCTGCCTTATCTTCACCACTAACATCACACTGCTTCTCATCACCCCTAAACCTGCATTGCAGGAGACGGGCATTTCTTTCTAGATTTTATAAAAGGACACTCAGCTCCATGTCCAGGAGTAAGTGTGAAGTCAAAGTTACTGTTTCGTATCAGAATTGGTCTTGATTAAAACTTAATCAAGCCCAAGTCCTGATAATCATGATCAAATGGTGTGATATTTAGCACATAGAAATGTCTCTTTACACAAATATGTACGTACATAATATTCCTTATTTAGTGCTACTGAGAGTGAACTTGAAAAAACACCAAGAAACGTGTATACTTTTGTTTATAGAAAGTTTACTTGAATGATTTGCACTGCTCTGTGCAGCTCGTCCCCTTATGGAGGTGGAGAGGGGGTGAGGGTCCTGGCAGCCAGTTCTAGGGGGCTGGGTGAGGCATTCCTGGAAGGTCTGCCTCCCATCTGTTTCTTCACTTCTCAGTGGTTCTGGAAGCTATACCATACTCTGTGATAAATCTGTTTCTGCTCCTATAGAAGATTTTGTTTTCTATCACTGACCAAATCAGGTCAAACACTTAAAAAAAAAAAAAAGGATCAAATGGGTACTGGTTAAGATCATGGGGCCCTGAAGGCTGACTGTATGGGTTTGACTTCCAGCTGTACCCACTGCCTGCTCCCTGACCTTAGACAAATTGTTTAAACTTTACGTGTCCCAGCTTCCCCATTTGTAAAATGATGATAATGATAATGCCTATCTCATATGGTTCGTATGAATGATAATACATGCAAAGTGCTTGTATCAGTTGCTGACACACAGTGAATGCTCGATGTTTGTTTTCATATATTAAATATATGTATTTTAGCAATAGACCCACCAAATAAAAAGCTATTGAAAATGTTTCAGAAATTCTCAAAGGCAGACATACTTAAGCTAGTATAAACAGTGATTGCTCAGTTTTTTGTTTTCATACTATTAAATACACATCGTTTAGCACTAGAACAACCAGTTACATTTTTATTGAGAACGTCTCAAAATTTTTCAAAGATGGACATACTTAAACTAGTATAAAGTCTTTTTGGCTAAAAACAAAAGCAAAATAAAACTGTTATCACAAGATAACTTTGAACTTGGTGGTTTCACACTCAGAGATTAGCTTTTTTAAAGGAAAGGACATGAAATTTGAAGTCAGCAACTATATTCTTCTCAAATATAAGTGGAGTAGCTTTGCTTTTCAGCTATGTTTCAAATTGGGCTCACTTGTGTGTGTGTGAAGGAAGAGTTTCTCTGGTTAAAAGTCAAATCTAGCAGTGTAGCAGAAATATCCCTAATCCTGGAATACGGAAATACTGAAAGGGTTGACAGTAACCTCTAACACTTCCTAGTTCTAAATATTTAAGACTAACCAGTGAAGTCTGTGGTCTTCTACCAAATATTCTTTTTAACTCCAGTGCAAAAAGATGTACTGTGCGTTTCCTGTGAACTTGGGCATGTGATTTCTTAAAGCAGAGCCCTGCTCTGAAGTGAGTCACCTTTGTGATAACATCTCTGCACTCTGATTTCTCTGCTGGTAAACTGGGGATATAATATCTTCTTGGGGTCAGGAGGTAGTCTGGGGGGTCATGAGAATGAAATGAGATGCTGCTCATGGGAACGACTGTACCAAGTTCAATAGTTGATATATGCTTGGTAGTCATTAGCATCCCACCCTCTCCCCAAAAAGGCAGACACAGAAAGCTGCATTTATTCCCTTTTTTGGGACAAAGACAGCAGGGACAGCATATACGTGTTTTTCACTGGCTAGAGGATGACAATGTAACCCAAGGAAATGAAAACAGTAACTATGAGACATAGGCACAGGTTTGAATTCTCTCCCTCCGTTTTATGCTATGTTCTACAAGGGCAAAGGGGGCTACAGGAAACATTGTCATGCCCACCCTCCAGCATCAGCCACCTTTCTCCTGAGCATCTCTTTCAGATTCCACAGCATCACTCCTATCCTCCCTGCTAGCGACACCCGCCCACACTCCCTCACACTCTAGGTGCTGAAACTCTCTTCCATTCCTTATGAGGGTGCCAGAATGCTTGATTAAAGTTGTACAACCCAGTAAAAGTGAGTCTTTCACAGTGGGAAGAGCTAACATTTATTCGATCAACAAACGCTGAGTGCCTGCCAGGGGTAGACACTGCTGGTCATTGGGACACGGAGAACATGAAACTGGTCATCGGTCAACATGAAACTGCATGGCGTCAGACTGCTCTTGTCATTCCCAGACATCACATAGTCAGTGACAATACGCACAATGTTTCATTCAATACCAAACAAGAAGGCAAGCACAGTTGATAACATACTAAAAAAAAAAGAAGCCAAACCCAGCATCTGAGAGTGGTTGCTGGCAGAGGATAAGAAAACAAGGTTCAAGGCGCTGCTAGACAGCCTCAGTGGTGAGGCACTCAGCCATCTGGGACAACTCTCAGCAGTCCATGTTATGGCTGGACAGTTTTACTGAAATGTCACTTCCAACTCCAAGACTTCAGTTTCTCTTCCTAAATAATGAGTCAAACAAATAAATGATAAAATACTGACTGTGAACACACACCTTTCAAGGTATGGCTGGGGAAAACCCTAACTTCTTTATCAACTGCAAAGAGAAACATCTAGTAAACAGAAGAAGATGCAGAAGCTCTTCTTAAGCATAATCTAAACATGTACGAATCTCTTAACAGCACTGGTGTCAACAAAAGCTTCTGTTGCTGCAAAAGCAGTCCTCAAAGAGTAGCGAGGAAGAGGCTGACAAACAGCTATTTTTTCATCTCCAAAATGGCACTTCCTGGTCCCCGGTGCTTCGCACTGCAGATGTTACAGAACTGTGCAGGAGAGGTCTAAAAAACACAAGTAAAAATGCAGACTTTTAAAAGATCATCTCCTTCTACTATCATATCCAGATGGGGGATGCACTGGTGGAGGATGGGGAGCAGGCCATGCGATGTCGCTCCTTTCCCCGGAGGGTACAGCTGGTTCACACGGGATTCTGTCTAGACCAGCTGCTGTTCTGGGACTCAAAGGATGCCCCACAGAAAGGCGAGCCTAATGTGACCCAGGGGCACCTCGGGGAACCCACCTTGACACTGAAAAAACTAGTGTCGTGATACAGAAATCAGGGTGAGAAAGTCAGACACAATAGAATGTGGTTCTCCCTGTAGTTCACATCTCTGGAGCCCAACAGTCATCGATTTTATCTAAACAAATTTATATACATGAGTATGCTTTTGTAATGTTTAGTGTCATGTACTAAGCAGTTGTACATTTGAGAAATAGGCTCATCACTTTTTCTGATGTGACAAACTATAACTGTGAGACACAGATGAAGGTTATAACTTTGAACCAGAGGATGGTTATCATTTTAAGCACATCCCTCTGGCTGCACCAACTGCTTTCAAGTTGGTGGTGGCCAAGCCACCCACTCACCATGCTAGGCACAGGCAGGCACTCCTTGTGGAACATATGTCGGCAGTGGAAGACCACCATGCTGAAGGGCTTCGCTGCGTCTAGGGGGAGAGGGCAGAGAAGGGAGAGGAGCTCAGGGCAACAGCAGTTTCATTTTCAGCCAGAAACTGCCCTGGGGGATTGCTAATTTACAATCACATCCCGGCCAGGCGGCGTGGTTGAACGCAGGGCAGGCATGAGTCCTATTGCTCTGGGGTCCTCGGTTAGCTGCCTGGCTTCCCAATCAGTTACTGCAGCTACACACGGGATGATTTCATGGCAAGGCAACAGCATTTGTTGTTAAAAAAAAAAAAAAAAAATATATATATATATATATATATATATAAAAATAAAGCAGCATGTGTATGTGACTTTACAAGGTTCTCCCTCCCCCAGCCCTGTGTACATAATCGTGACACACCACATACTGAAGTGGATTCTGTGGTTTGTAAGGATGCTTTCTGCCTGAAAGCATCTGCATTTGCCAAGACCCTTCAGTGACTGCAGGGCAGAGCTGGGCAAACATCCTTGGTGTGACCTTGCTCTGTACCATGAGTCTGCTTGGGCACTGCACCTCATCTGCTCCTGCTCCATGTAGCCAGCTTAGTTCCAGTAAGATTGAACCCTTAACAGACTAAATTAGAAATCTGACTATACTGTGCAGGTGCATGTGGTTTCCTTCCATTAAAACACTGACTAAAACACTGCAAAAGCTCGCTGCTTTTCCTATGCCCACTGCGGTTTTTCTTCTATTTTTTATTATAGTGGATTTACAGTGCTGTGCTAATTTCCGCTCTACAGGGAACAACAAGATCACACCGTGTAGCGCAGGGAACTATAGTCAATGTCCTAGGGTGATCCATAATGGAAAAGAACATGGAAAAGAACGGATATGTGTACGCATGCGTGCTAAGTTGCTTCAGTGGTGTCTCTGTGCAACCCTAGGGACTGTGGCCCTCCAGGCTCCTCTGGCCATGGGATTCTCCAGCAAGAATACTGGAGTGGGCTGCCATGCCCTCGTCCAGGGCATTTTCCCAACTCAGGGATCGAACCCACGTCTCACTATGTTTCCTGCATCGGCAAGTGGATTCTTTACCACTAGCCCTACCTGGGAAATCCTGGATATGTGTATAACCCACTGCAATTCTTAACATAAGCACTTAAAATCCAAACCTCTACAGAAGACCCCAAGTGGAATGACCTCTTGTGCTCCTGCCCTATTAAATAATCCCTCAAAGCTACGTTAATGCTACACAAACGAGGTCTTATAGTGCTTCTCCATGTTGAATTTATACATATGAAGCACTTTCTTAGCTTCTCAAAAACTGCTTTAATTTCTGCTTCAAAATATGGAAGTCTCTCTCTTCACATCCTGTGTGTTATTTGCTCAGTCGTGTCCAACTCTTTGGAACTCCATATTTTGTAGCCCGTCAGACTCGTCTGTCCATGGAATCCTTTAGGCAAGAATACTGAGTAGGGATATGGCTGAAATTCTTCTCTAAGCTGAATTATTCCAAAAGTTTTATAAAGTGTAATTTGCTAACTTCAAAATTTTAACTCTGCTCATCATTAACACATATCTGGGAATTTTTTCTCCCCAGCCATCTTACCTGATGGAAGAATAGGGGAAAGGCAGGACTCACAGATGTTCTCCTCTGCAAGGAAACGCACACAGTAAGTCCCCTACATACAAACCTTCAAGTTTTGAACTTTCAGAGATGCAAATGTGCCCCTGGATGCCAGCTACTGTACCACACTACTGTACTTTTCAAGGTAATGTACTGCAAAATTTAAAATGTCTACTTTTGGGTTTGGTGGTTATGTATGATTTGTGTGAAAAAGCATTATAAACCTATTACAGTACAGTACTACATAGTCAATTATGTTAGTTGATACCTAAGCTATCTTTGTTGGATTTACGAATGTGCTATTAGAACATATGTGGGGGACTTGCTCTACACTTGGGATTACATAAGGTTTCTCTTTGTCCTGTCTGAAAGCGAGGCATGCAGTTCCAATATGATTCTTTCCATTTTACTTACCATCAACCAGAATGCCTTTCATTTGAGTTCGGTGCATCTTCTTTAGTAACGACAGAGAGTCGGCTACGAGAATCTTCTTACAGCCTTCACGAAGCAGAATCTAACGCACAAATGCAAAAGAAAAACCACCGTAAAGAGATTCAAATATGGGGGAGAATCCTCTTACTATTCTCGGGTGGGGTCAGGGAGAGGCGGTCCCTTTCCTTTTAAACGAGTTCTTCTGGCCACACTGTGAGTTTCCATTCTGGGTTTGGGGGGTGGGTATTGTATTGGAAATTGGGAGAAGCTGTGTGAGGTATGCTAAGCCAGATGTTGTTTTTCACTAGAACTCGCTGCTTTTCAAAGAGGAAAACATTCAAGGCCTTCTGGGAGGCTCTGGTGCAGCATCCATGTCGTCTTCTTCTGGCCCATTGGGTCTGAGTGCACATGGTTCCGTGGGGCTTCATGGAAATTCACACAATGGAGACATCGCCACCTCCCTGCTGCCCAGCTCTGGGTCATGACACAGCTGCATCCTGCCCTTCTTCACATCAGAGTCACTCTCGGCTCTGAAACCTCTGTGGCTGTTCTGCTTTCACACAGTTTCAATTCATGCCGTCAGGGAAGGAAACTGGAAGCGGCCAACTGTGGTCCTCCATCCCGGATCAGCTGGGATAACACGTCCTCCTCTCAATCCCAAGGAGCACCGGCGCTGGGTGCATGCAGCCCGAGGGCTTCTCCCCTCATCATGTGAGGGCAGAGAGCCAGGGAAACACAAGTGATGCCCAAAGTTCTGCACCCACCATTTCGAGAGTTGATGAGCAGGAAACTGCATGATTTTACTGTTTCTACATGGGGAAACTGCCTATGAAGTTTTATTCTTCAGAATGCTGCTGGAAATTGAATTTTTCAGATTCATTTAAGAAAACAAACTAACAGATGTCATGAAAGCATACAGAAAGAAGAGAAAAATACAGTAGAAAAGATCTAAAAAATACTGATGTTGGTAAGCTTTTTTAAAAAACTTATTACCAAACATATCTAGCTGCTCTAATACTAAACCCTTAACACAAATAGTGTCAATCAAACAAAATGTTTCAAAAAGTCAGTTGTAGCTTCTATAATTGTTACAAGCATACTTTGTTCTACTGTAAGATTAAATAAGAATGCATTTATGTTAGTTGTTGAAAACTAACACAAGACTCTAGATTCTCCCTACTTTTCCTTATTTCTCTGCAGTTCATCATCGATAATGATCCCAACCAAAAGAAAAGCACTAGGCTCACTTTTTACAGTAGTAAGAGTGTGTGTACATCAGCGAAGTTATTATGGTTCATTAGAAAGAGCTGCCATGGGAAAAAAATGTCATACAAGGCTGCCAAGTTTCTGAAATTTCCATTTTAAAAGACTCTCTGAATGTTGAACTTTTTGCTGACACTGTCTTGTACATACTGTAGTGCTTATCATCAGCATGGCACATGAGACAGTCACCTGGTTTCATAAACCCCTGATATGATACCAGAGCTAGACTGGGAAACAATTTTACCTACTTTCTAATCCATCATTTAAATCACAATGCAATGGGATTTAAATTCTATTTGAAAAAAGCTTTGCCTTTTGTCAGGTTTATTATCAAAGAAGAATTGCAGAGAAATAAGACAGAAAGACTCAAGTTCTCAGGTTGGAGTTGAAAAAATGATAAAAGTATGCATGTAACTAAGTGATTAAAGAAGGTATAGTTGGTTGTCATAAGCACCTATGTGATGAAGCCAAACAGAAATAATTTTAGAGGTTTTATCTTAAATGTTTATATAACTTTTATTTTCAAGAATATTAAAAACTATCTTTTAGAAGAAATTACGAGCTTATATACTGTGAGTTGAAACCCATGTGAGACCCAAGAAAAGGTAAGAAAGCAGCCACTGTTTCCTCTTAATCTGTCTCTGGATTTCAAAGTAGAGACCTATGGGGAAATGATAAAGCCACAGGGGACTGTGTGTGCAAGGGTCTCAGTTGTGTTTGACTCTGTGACCCCATGGTCTGTAGCCCGCCAGGCTCCTCTGTCCATGGAATTTTCCAGGCAAGAATACTGGAGTGGGTTGCCATTTCCTCCTCCAGGGGATCTTCCCGACCCAGGGATCAAACCTGCGTCTCCTGTATTGGCAGGCAGACTCTTTACCACTGAGACACCTGGGAGGCCTCTACAGGACATTATAGAAGAAGTAAATACAGGGAAAGAACTTGGATAAACAGATGTCTGGAGTCATTTATTTATTTATCTGTGTGTGTACATGTGAGAAATTTAACTAAATGGACGTGTTAAAGCTTTTTGCTTCTCTTAGGAATATTCATTCAGCTCAAGAGCCGCTCAAGCAAAGGGCTACATTCTGCTCATTTCCTGGTCCATGAGATAATACGTGGAGGCTCTGTGAGGACCCAGTTGGGCACTCAAATATTTAAATCAATATGTCTATAAGCAATCAAACATATAGCATTAAAAAACATATACTGATTGCTTCTTGGCATTTTGGCTAAGATCAAGTGTAAAAAAGTTACATGGAAAAAATCTAAGCTACTTTATTACAGATTCCAAAATAAGTATTATGGATGATTTCCACAGAAATATTACATAAATGCTATGCAGCTGCATTTGCCATAGAAAGACATGTTTATGAAAGGACCCTCTTGAGAATTTGATAGAAATTCTTTAGAGACCATCTAATCTCGAGGCTCTTAAATGTCAATGCAGAACCCAGTGCCAGGCTGAGTGTTTAAGAAACACCAGGGTGGTCTAAGGATCTGTTCCCTGTTCCTCTCCCACAGATCTGGGGTGGTACCAGAAACTAAGTAATTAAAAAAAAAAAAAAATCAGAATATTCTGGTATACAGCTAGGCTTAACAAGTATTGATTTAACCTAATGGGAAAATTGACATCCAGAAAGTTTATGGGCCCCTCCCAAAGGTCAACAGACTTAATGGCAAAGCTGGGACTAGAGTCTGGGTCTGCAAACACCATGTCCACAGCTCTTTAAAGACAACAGGCTACCTGTTCATCTTCTAGGCCAATCCTATATATTCCTGTTGCAACCTGCCCATATAATGACTGCATCTCCAGGGACCAATGGGACAACCAGTGAGAAGTACACAAGGTTTAGTCAGAAGGTCTGGGTTCAGATCCAGTTCATCACCTTCCCAGACTGGTGAGTCAACACTTTCTGAAATGCAGGTCTTCTTATATATAAAACAAGAGATGAGCGTTCCTGAAGGGCCATTGTAAAGATAAATGACTGTCAGGTGTTTAAAAGCAAAGGTGCTAGGATGCTTAAGAATGGTAAATAAGCTCTAAAAAAAAAAAAAAGGAGCAAGAGAAGTGGATATAAACGCTAAATATTGGTTTGGCGAAAAAAGTTGTTGGGATTTTTCCATAACATCTTACAGAAGAACTGAACAAACTTTCTGGCCAACCCACTAAAGACAAGAAATAAAATTTTTTACAAATATAAAACACAGCATAAAAATTTGGAAATTGCGGTTTCTTGTAAAAATGGAAGTATCATTATATATTGTTTTGTAAGTAACTTATATCAAAACAAATGCTATTTGTCCTTGAAATCAGACCTAGAAACATTTTAAGTTTATGAAGTATGGTAAGGGCTACTTTTATCCTACTTCACGAAGCTTTGAAATCCTCTTGAACCATCATGCTAACAATATAATAAGGTACATAAATGTGTAAAAAAAAAGTTAAACACTGAAAATGTGGTTAATTATTTCTTTAACATTAATGATGTCATAGACAGTTGAAGCTTAGCTGTCAGCTTCTAATTCCATTTAGATGGAATTAGACATGATACTGAGAAAAGTTGTTGCATCTTAGAAAATATGAAATTTTAAAAGCAGAAATGATGTTCAGCTTTCCCCCCCAACTTTCTAACTTTTCTCTTTCCAAACAGCAATTCACTTGAGGAGTCCTCCCCCAAAGCTCTTTCAGTACCAAGTAAGTTGTACAATTCTGTCCACTGAATTATAAATCTGACCCTTAGATTACCAATGCATATCAGCAAAAAAGGTGCTGAGAAGCCCTGTAGTAACCTTTGTCTAACACTTGACCACAGTTTCCTACATTATACTGAATGGTTCTTAATGTCTTCCAAGGTCATTCCCCCCAACTCCCTGCCCCCAGGCATAACAGGGTCCAGATTCTTGCTGATTCATGGACCTGAAAAATTTCCCCTAAATTTTTTGGGTGTCATTGTCAGAGATGAAATTTTTTAGCCTGTTAAAACATGTAAAAATCAACTATAGTTTTATGGAAGAAACAACAACAAAAAAAGACTAGACAGAATTTTATAAGTATGTGAAACCTTTCTGGAAAATTCAGACTGCTCTATAAATAGATTCAAGTTATTTTTATAGTGATCCCCAGTAGGTTGTCAGGAAAAGAAAATAGTTATTAATGAAAAGAAGTAGCCTTTTTCATAGAAAATAATTCTAAACTTTTCATATATAAGCAGGAAGTACCTCCTGGAACTCTGAACAACCTGCCCCAGTAGAGCATTTTCTTCCTGCATCCTCCAAGGAGATGTCTGAGGTCCAGAGAAGACTGCAGCCATTCCCACAGACCGCGCCCCATGGTTGGGGTATTACAGGCTACCTTGGACCCCCAGGCAAAGTAACTCCCAGCCTCTTTAACACACCAGGGGCTACACACTTACACATCTTAAGGAAAAGCTCTCACTTAAAAATGTAATGAAAAGGATAAAATATTGACTTAGCAGCTGTTTATTAGTAGCTAATTTTTTTGATGGAATTCACTTTGCACCTAATAATTTTATTTTTATTCCCGGCTGACTCAGAGTTATGCAAATATATTACTAAAACATTAATGAGCAGTGAGACCTAGCAGTGCCCCTGAGCTAGGTTCTCTGGAAAGAGCCTAGGAAGAGGGGTCTATTGGGTGTTTTTGGAGGTACTGTAGAGGCTGAGAAAAAAGTAAGGCATAATTTTCAACTGAGAGGCTAGGCTTCATGCAGGACAGCTGGAGGACAGAAGGGGTAATTATTTGGTAACCTTTCTTGGGGTAGATCTGTGGAGACACTTAAGTGACTTCTTGACAAGTTGGAATTTGCAACTTCCAGGCAGACCCGGGGTGTTGAGAGCCGAGGAGCTACAGATCACTGTCAAGCTCACTCCCGTCCAGGGCTTTACCGGGTCTGACACTGGAACTGCTCTCCCTAACGCCAAATTCATGCTTCAGGATGAAGTGACTCATTCCCGGTCTCGATGGCTCTTCTGCATCCCCTGAGAGCTGCACAAAGTGCAAACCCCTCGTCACCTCTCCTCACCCAGTAACCCCTTCCTACATTTCTTTCTCCTTCCTCCAGCAACCTTTCTCTGGGTCACCCACAAGCCTCCAAATTCCACTGGAAACAAATGCTTATTTCTCTGGAAGGTTTCTGTAGAAGAGACTGTTTTCCTACTTGCCTAAGCCAAGTACTTGTTTCTCGCCCATGATGCCAACCTCCCAGGAGCCTTCTAAGCCAAGGCTTCCAGTTTTGTCACATTCGCCCTCAGAAAAACCTCTTCTCCTTAAAGCTGAGTTATCCAGTAAGGCCAGTCAGCTTACTGGATGTTAACTCCTAGTTTGAGGAGAAAGTTGGACCCTGGCTCACAGCTCAGTGCCCACCAGACAACTTCTACCCTCACAGTTTCTTGACTAATTCCACTCCCATGACCCCTCCCATCACTGTACTTTCTGAACGTGGTCACAAAGGCTTCTTTGGAAATGTTTAACAATATCTTCCTCCCTGGCCATAGGCTCCTGGCCCTCCAGCTCTGTTAGTCCTTGACATTTCTTAGTTTTCTTTTTGATACCACTGATCTTCCTCATTTTCTTCTCCTTTTCACCCAGTCTCTTACCTGAACTCCAAGTTCAGCGGGTGCTACGCAAATCCTCATCACGTGCTCCCCCTTTCCTACCCTGGAGACCATTTCTCTCCCCACAACCCTGTCTTTTGGCTCCACCTGCACAATCTCTGCTTCCAGGAAAGCAGTGTCATCCCCATTTAACCAAAAACTCATTTCCAAATGAGCTAGAGAAAGAACAGTCTGAATTTTTCAAGAAATGTGCTTTAAATAGTTCCAAGTTCTCTGGACGCTACTAGCATTCCAAAATAAAGTCACTGCTAGAGGCTATTTTAAGGAAAAGATCAGGATGCTCTGTGATTGGCATGTTAATTATTTATATGAAGATAACGAGTTCTATGGCTCTTATCACAAATTCTGAATTATTGAGGGTACTAAACTTGTAATACTCTAGAAAAACAGACAAAAAGTAAAACAAAATTCTGTATTTTAAAATCTTTCAGGCAACAGGATACTGAGTGGCCTCAAGGAAATGATCAAACTATTTGGGGAAAAAAAAAGTTGTTTTTTTTTCCATTGCTCCGAATGGACACAATGCTCATTCTACTTCAAAATGGTTCAGGTGGTCTGATCTAAAAGCCACTGTAACACTCCCTCACATTCTCCAAGGCCATGCTAAGTTTACCCTATAAATGTGAGAATGCCTGCTCACAAGGAGAGAAAATCTGGGGATGGATAAGAAATTTAAAGGATGCTATTTGTAGCTTCTTTATTTGAAAAATATCCCAAATATCTGGGCCTAGGTATACTGTGACTATCAAACTGAAATGGATGTCCACAATAAACCCTAGAAATGTTTATCCAGTAGTCAGTCAATTTACTCAGCAATGTCCACTGATTCAAGAGAGGATACTTACTTGTAAATTGTAGTCTTGTAGAATTTTAACTAAGGAGTCTCTCAAATTAGGAATCTCCATTCCTTCCTTAATACGGTGAATCAGTAGAATCGGGTCAACATGTGTGCCGATGTTGTTTAACAAGCCAGTGATAAATGCTACAGGATACCACAGAAAACACCATATAAGCAATGGAATGGATGCAATTTTAGGCAAAAAGTTATATCCTTGTAGTAAGTGTTAAAACCATCTGAACTTCTAAATCCTCCCAAGAACTAATCTTCCTTTACTTTTCTCAAAAAAGCAGCTTAATGAGAAGAGATTTAAAAAAACAATGAATTGGAAAACAAATGATTGCTTTGGAACACAGTTTGTGATGTCAAAGAGAGGTGACTAATATTTATTGTGAATATACTATGGCTCAGTTATCATATACTTTTCTCCAATATTCTGCAAGGTGGGAATGTTTTTTGTTCCCATTTTATGGAAAAGGAAAAAACAGGATGGTTAATGAATCTGTCCAGGATCACACAACCAGCAATTTCTGAACCCAAAATCAAAGCCAGGGTAGGCCCAGGTTTACAGTATGCTTCATTACCACTTTGCCTCCTGTAAGATCCTTGAACTGCTACTCTCTTATGCTAAACTAGATTTGCAAAGTACCTTATCAGTAATGAACCTGAATAACACCCTCCTCTTGTATCTCAGAAAAAAACTATTGTAACAGTGGTTTCTAGAACGTGAAAATCTTGAAATAGATAAGCCTTCTGACCAAAAAGTAAAAAGGGGGAAGGGAGAGATTTTAAACCATGGCTGCTAGTTTCTGAATCATATCTGTATCTTTAAAAGAGGACTTTCATTAACTTTTGTTTCCTTCCAAAATGGGAGACCCACGCAGATGGTCAAGGAGGGGCGGCGGACAGACACTCCTGGAGTTGCACTGATAGGGCAGGAGAGAGAGGCTGGACGCTGCAGCAGCAAACCTCCAAGTACAGCCGATGTCCATAGTGGCTGTGGGTTTCCATAAAGAGAAGTGATAAGGGCTAGACAATACACTTCCAAAATAAATGTCCCTGTGTACACACAAAACCAGAACCTTTCATTCCGTTTGGTGCAGTAGGTAAAATTGTGCTTCATGGGAGCAGGGTTAATCTCATGTCCCTCACTTGTTCTTTATCAAGTTCAGCTAGGCAACATGAATTGATAAGGCTCTAGACTTCCCTGTATGGGGAGAGTTCGGGAAATTGTTACTATGCACCTCACCTATTTTTATTATAGATACTTCACCACATTTTTAACTCAGTGCATCCTGAGATGATTCTTACTCTAGACACAACTGGCTAAATGGAGAGAAAGACGTTATAAAGGCAGATGGGTGTTCTACTTACGTGGTTTGTCGATGGAATATAAAATCAGATCCTCCCAGAGTTCTGCATCATCCTGCTCCTTGGCAAATTCAATCGCTTTATCAACGTCATGCAATTCCTCCATAATCATCTTCAGGGCACTTCGACTGTTACCCATTCGGCCTAGAACAATGTGAGACACACGTTTAGGATAATTTAATTAAACGTTTTAAGAGAAATCACATCTCTATTTGTTTACATAGTTTGATAGCCATGACAAAAAGCGAATTTCATTCTGTGCCAACTGAAACTTACTAAAATAAATAAATCCTAATTACTAGGTATTTACTTTGTACTGAGTATTCCCTTAGGTGCTTCACATGAATTACTTTGTGTAATCACTGTAATCCGAGGAAGTATGTTCTATTTCAATTTTATAAAAAAGGACAGACGTGTTAGTCACTTGTCAAGATCATATAGCTACTAAATGGCAAATCTGGAATCTAAAACCAGGTCTGTCAGATTCTGACTTCCTTCTGATGAAAAGCAGAAAAAGAAAAAAAAAAACAAATTTGTCAACCCATCCACAATTTATTTTGATTTACACTGTAAAGTGTGAACTGATAGTTTTATTACACAATACCAATTATTATCTCAGTAGCATTTATTAAATAATGCTACCCTCTTTATTGAGCTATGAAGTCTCCTTTTCCAAATATTAAATTCTTATATAAAACAGGCTTTAACCTCTGTTACTTTGGTCTAAAACCTATGTCCATTCTTGGAAAATTTATATCACGTTGTCACCCCACTCTAGTTTATGGGGACCAAAATGAATCAAAGCTACTTACTCAGAAGATAAACTGTCTCTTCTACAAAGTTTCTCTGTTGACAGATCTCAAGAGCCTTCAAATAAAGCAAGGTAAAAATGTTATGTGTTATCATATAAAAACAAATATCTATAGTCACTTAAACATACAAGTTTGAAAGAATTTCTCCACTGCCTCCCTTTAAAAACAAAGCAGAAGTAAATAAGCCTCTTTAAGTTTTGCTTGTAGCTGTCCAGATTTCCCTGAGAGGTGCTGGATCCTACACAATTTAACTGATAACATATTTGAGGTAGAACATTCCAGAGCAAAGGCAGAAAGCAAGATGCTGAAACAAAGGTTCTTCCCCACAAAGCTTTCTCTCTTTCTGCTACTTGAGGTTTCTTCATGGCACTGGTCTAAAGCCCTATTTCCTTCCATTGGATTGTAAGCTCCAGGAAAGGACTACTGTTCACAGCTGTATGTTCCCTGCATGGAGCAGTAAACATTTGCTGCATAAAGAATTAAATACTGGGGTGGGAATATTTCTACTGCTGCCTTACAGGGTCTAGAAAAAACTCTGTTCAAGGATCTGTCAAAAGTGGACTGAAAAGATATGTGCACCCTAATGTTCACTGTAGCACTATTTACAGTAGTGAAGACATGGAAACAACTTGAATGTCCATCAACAGATGAATGGATGAAGATGATGGTTCATATATACAATGGAATACTACTCAGCCATAAAAGGAACAAAACTGGTTATCTGTAGTGATCTGGATGAACCAAGAGTCTGTCATACAGGGTGAAGTCAGAGAAAAATATCATATATTAATGCATTATATAGAGAATCTAGAAAAACCGTACACACTAACCTATTTGCAGGGCAGGAATAGAGATGCAGATGTAGAGAATGGACTGGTGGACATGGGGGTGAGGAGGGAAGGAGAAGGTGAAACGAACTGGGAGAGCAGCACTGACGTATACACACAGTCGTGTAAACCAGCCAGCTAGTGGGAGGCTGTGGAGAGCGCAGGGATCTCAGCTCGGTGCTCTGTGATGACGTGGCGTGGGATGGTGATGGTGGGGCAGGAAGGAGGCTCGAGAGGGAGGGTAGACATACACATATAGCTGACTCATTGCTGTACCGCAGAACGTTGTAATTATACTCCATTTAAAAACAAAGTAACACCTTACTTTAGAATTGGAATGAAACGAAGATAATGTTTTAGAGTTGTTTAGTCACTAAGTCATATTCAACTCTTTCGGGACCCCATGGACTGTAGCCCACCAGGCTCCTCTGTCCACAGGATTTCCCAGGCAAGAATACTGGAGTGGGTTGCCATTCCCTTCTTCAGGGGATCTTGCTGGCATGGATTCTTTACCATTGAGCCACCAGGTACACAATCATTTAAATGAGAAAATGAGAAGACCTGAAGGTCACAATGAGGAAGAAACGTCACTAATTTGATCACTCACACAATTCCTTTAAAAATAATGCAGCAGACAAAAATGGAAATATAGATCAATGGAATACGATAGAAAGCCCAGAGATAAACCCACACACCTATGGTCACCTAATCTATCACAAAGAAGGCAAGAATATACAATGAAGAAAAGACAGTCTCTTCAATAAGTGGTGCTGGGGAAACTGGACTGTTACATGTAAAAGAATGCAATTAAAACACTTCCCAATACCATACACAAAAATAAACTCAAAATGGATCAAAGACCTAAATGTAAGGCTGGACACTATACAATTCTTAGAGGAAAAGATAGGATACTCTTTGACATAAATTGTAGCAACATCTTTTCTGATCTACCTCTAAGAGTAATGAAAGTTAAAACAACAAAAAATAGGACCTAATTAAACTTAAAAATTTTTGCACAGCAAAGGGAACCATAAACAAGACAAAAAAACAACCCTTAGAATGGAAGAAAATATTTGCAAATGAAGCAACCCACAAGGTATTAATCTCTAAAATATACAAACAGCTCACGTAGCTCAATATCGGAAAACAACCCATTCAAAAAAATGAGGGGAAGCTAGAAACAGACATTTCGCCAAAAAAGATATACAGATGGCCAACAACCACATGAAACATGCTCAACATCATTAAATATTAGAGGAATGCAAATCAAACTACAATGAGGTATCATCTCACATTGGTCAAAATGGCCATCATCAAAAAATCTACAAACAATAAATGCTGGAAAGTGTGTGGAGAAAAGTATGGCGGTTCCTCAAAAACTAAAAATAGAGCTACCATAAGACCCACCAGTCCCACTCCTGGGCATATACCTGGAGAAAACCATAATTCAAAAAGATACATGCACCCTAATGTTCACTGCAGCTATTTACAACAGCCAGGACACAGAAACAAATGTCCATCAACAGAGGGCTGGATAAAGATATTACATATATACAATGAAATATTACTCAGTCATAAAAATGAAGGACACTCTGCCATTTGCAGAAATGTAGACGGACCTAGAGACTGTCATACAGTATGAAGTCAAAAAGAAAAAATGTCATATTAACACCGATATGTGGGATCTCAAAAATGAGACACATGAACTTATTTGCAAAGCAGAAATAGAGACACAGAGGTAGAGAACAAACGTGTGGACACCAATGGGGGAAGGAGGTGGGATGAACTGGTGGTAGGTGGGAGACTGGGATCGACATTTCTATATACCTTACACTGTATCAAATAGATAGCCAACGAGAACCTACTATAGAGCACAGGGATCTCTACTCAGTGCTCTGTGGTGACCTAAATGGGAAGGAAATCCAAAAAGAGGGGATGTGTGTATAACTGATTCACTTTGCTGCATAGCATAAACTGATACAAGATTGTAAAGCAGCTATTCTCTAACAAAAATTTAAAAAGTGATGTGGCAGAGATGGCAAGATGTTCCCTAGTGTCCACTGCCCATTTCTTCTATAGTAGTAAGATTACAGGTGGTTGAGTGATTGCCCAGAATTAAAACCTCAAGCCCTCTCTGGTGGTAGGAGAGCTATGTGACCAGTATCCACTATGGAGATGAACCAGAAATGTGGGACGGCAGCTTCTGGGTCTCAGAACACCCTGCTCTCTTATTTTTAATCCTTTCATCCAAACTGCTCTTGGAAACATGGATGATACAGGAGATGCAGGAGACCTGGGTTGGATTCCTGGGTCAAGATGCTCTGGAGTAGGAAATGGCAACCCACTCCAGTATTCCTGCCTGGAAAATTCCATGGACAGAAGAGCCTGGCAGCCTACAGTCTGTGGAGTCGCAAAGAGTTGGACACAACTGAGCACATACACAAAGCATAAAAGCATGTTTTCTTTTAGATTCTTGAATATTCCCGAGCAATAGTGCTCCATCTAGAGGAAAAAGTAGGTAACAGGACATACATACGTGCACGTGTGCAAAAAAGGAGAACAGAAAACAAGTGACAAGACAGAATAATAACAAAAATTGAGTAAAATATGATGTAAAAATAATATTCAAATTTTTCCTTTCCTTATTTAATGTATAAGTAAGTAACAGTTAAAAATTTGGGTGTTAACTAATGGAAACTTTATCAGCCCTATCTACCGTATCAGTTTTATAATGATTTCTACATAGCCTTGACCCCATCATCTTTTATACAGTCTTATTTTTCTTTAAGGAAAATTAGTAAACTATGCATCTCCTATTTTATTCCTCCAGATTCATATATACTGCCACCTTGTGAATGCAATTAGATATGAGAGTGACCATAAATTCAGGTATTAATTGATAAAGCTAATATTTTGCTTTTAACTGTTCTAGGCATAAGCAAATCAAATTTGCAAATGTGAAAACTAGGGCCTGATGACCACACCTGGAAATGACAGAAGAATGAACAGTTGAAAAACTGATGTCTCTCAGAATTCTTGCAATACTGAGGAATATCTTTATTAGTATTGCTGCTGTTATTATTTTAATTAACTTTTTGAACCTGAAAAAGATGATTCCTTACCACAGTGGAAAGTATTTGGGACCTAAAGTTAAGAGACTCAGGTTCTAAGGCTCAGCATGTTGTCTTATAGCTCCAGACTGGGGGGAAATCTACTTAGGTTTTTATGAGTCAGTAGTTTTTCTGTGTTACAAGTAAATATAAAAGGAATTTGTTTCTAAGATGAAACAAAGTGTGCACAGAGTTATTATTTCTAGGGAGAAAGGAATGAGATGCTGCATGAATTAAAGTCAAGAAAATCTGCTTTCAAAGATGGCTTGGTGTACCTAAGCAAGGACAGTGGTATATTTTTTGCAAATATACAGACTTCCCACAATGGGGTCTCAGGCAAAGATAATCTCTAATAAAGATGTCTCAAAGATCTTTAACATGAAAGCCTAATGACTTGATTATAGTGACATGTTTCAACCATTACTATCTCAAATCCATTTTGTTCAAAATTCTCTTTACACTGAAAGTTACCTTAAAAAAAAAAAACCTACTTCAAATATAATTGTTCTCAGGTTTGTGTTGAATTCTCTTATCTGCAATTGATTTTTCCCAGTAGCTCAGACAGAAAAATTCCAAAGGGCCCACACAATGCTCCAAGTGAGTTCTCTGTATTAGAAATATCATGTGGGGGGATGAGAATTTCTGATGCTGTCTTTGTGGGCAGAGCAGTGTGCTTTCCATTGAACACTACCAGACTGGAAAACTGTAAACCAAATGGGTTGAAAGCATATTCCAGACACGGACGTACTGGAATCCAAGTGGAGGCTTTGTACGGTGTTCAGCAAAGGGGAAGAAGGATGCCTGGGTGGGTGCTGACCACCCTCGTGTGCGGGGCTCTGGCTGAGTCAACAGGACAAGGCCAGGTCTGCCTGGAAACACATGATGTTTCCTTCAAAGTGAGGTACAAACTTTTCAAAGATGAAGTTCAAAGTTCAGTTCAAAGATGAAGATTCTCCCTCTTTTTCTAGGTTATAGATTCAGAAGTGAGAAAAGAGAGGAACGTTTGCTTTTCTTTTTTAAGATGATGTGTTTCCAAATTTATTCTTGAGAAAAAGCCTTAGGGCCCAAAACGTAAACTGTTAATGTTTTTCATAAACTAATATGCAGGCAAGATTTTTTTCTTTAATTAACTGTAGATGCAGAAAATCCATTGAGCTGAAACTGGTTCATAGTATTCAACACATTTGAAGTTAATCATCATGGGCTGAAGAAGCAACTAGAAAAGCTGTGATTGCACATAAATTGTATGTTGTCAGTCAACTTCTTAATACATGTCTCTCACGGGTCACTTACTTTGTTTTGTTGCTACATATGGCTGATGGTAGAAAGTACTTGCTCTCTGGCCATCTTAATTCAGGAAGACACGTGTAGATGGTAGAGAGCATTCCAGATGGTGTTAAGAACCATGGGAAACAAAGCTGATGGTCTTCAATCGCCCAGGTTCTAGTACACACATGGTGAGTATTGTAGTTTATTTTGAAACAGCAGGCTCATAACACTTACTAGTTCATATTCAGCCCTAACTAGAACCTCATAGGTATTAACTTATTCATTCATTCGACTGACATGCAATAAACATTTAGTGTCTAATGTGTGGCTGGCTACTGAGTTTATGAGAATCGGTGAAACAAACTCCTTTTCCTTGAAGAATTTATAGGATGGTGGGAGATTAGAAACCATAGATATAACTACAGTTAACTACATTATAACTATAATGGAATTGGTGTAACAGAGAAACAGAAAAGTACATCATGTGGGTATTTACAGCACACAGGATGCAGGAATGAAATTATGTATCAACTTGGGGTCTTGACTGGGGCAGTTGCTTCTGGCTTTGGGTGGTTTGTGTCCCCCTCCCAGGCTGACTTTGCTGGTAAATACATCAGACTCCAGACAGTGTTTTATGGTTGACTGAGTTCTAGACCCTGGATCAGACCTTTATCCCAGTTAAACCTGGCATAGAGATACTTGAGGTCCTCACCAAAATCTGATCAGATAGGACCTCCCATTGTGATAGAATGCCCGGAAAAAGCTCGTGCCTGGAAAGCCAGTCTTTCCCTTGAATGCGGATGGACGAGCAGAGACAGAATACTAGAAGAACCCAGAGCTTACCAACAAAGACGACTCTCACCTCGCAGTGTTTGAGCTGGGGCATCTGGGACTCACCTTTTCAAGGGGGCAATGGATACTGTCTCGGAGAAATGGAAGCAAGTTGGGTCGGTCGAATTCAGCATAAAGGCTGATCTGCTTCTCATGGTAGCGCTGTCCCTTATGATGGTCTCTTTTGAAAAGCTTATGCAGGTACTAAAAAGAGCAAAGGAATAAACAAGGGATATTAAAATATGGAAGTGATACCTGTTTAACATAGCTATTTTCAGCCACAGACAGGCTGGCGGAAAAGCAGTTTTTAGGAAAAATCTCTAGGAAAGGGGAAGTGGAAAGGAGACATCTTGGCAAAAGCAAGGAGGTGCTTGTACTTCCTAGAATGGCCCCAAGTGACCTGTTTCTGCCTCTTACCGACCATGTGGCCCTGGGCAGGTCACTAACCTCTCTGTGACTGAGTTTCTTTATCGGCAAAAATCTTCAGTTGTGAAGACTGAATGAGTTACCATTTGTAAATCACTTAGAACCACACCTGGCACAGAATAGGCACTGCAGAAATGTTAATGACAGGCACTGTTAATATTCTCACCATCATCTGCTTCACCTCAGAAACAAAATGCTTGATCAGTGGTGTTCCTAGATTGTAAAAATTCTCATCTTTTATATAAAAGGGGGTAGAGTCATGGCAAGAACATGTTCTTAAAAATAACTCCAGTAGCAAGTGCTAAATTAATTGTTGTATTTTCTAAATCTCCTGTCCTTAAGTTTTACTGAGATCTGTGTTTGCCTGAAATGCTGCCTCCACTGGGGACCTCAAAAAGTGAAAAGAATCAAGAAGAGTCAGGTGTTCTGAATCCATTTTCATAGCTGATTCCTTTTTCTGACTGAAAAAGTTAATGAACCTTCAAGGCAGTGAGTGATTCACTTTCTGTGAAGTAGTAGCAAGGATTGTAGTATCAATACTACAATTGATTGTAGTATCAAATTGAAGTAGTATCAATAGATTGTACAGAAGTCAGAAATCGATGTTCAATGTTTCAGTTCAGTTCAGTCACTCAGTCGTGTCCGACTCTTTGCGACCCCATGAATCGCAGCACGCCAGGCCTCCCTGTCTATCACCAACTCCCGGAGTTTACCCAAACTCATGTCCATCAAGTCAGTGATGCCATCCAGCCATCTCATCCTCTGTCGTCCCCTTTTCCTCCTGCCACAAAGTCCCTCCCAGCATCAGGGTCTTTTCTAATGAGTCAACTCTTCTCATGAGGTGGCCAAAGTATTGGAGTTTCAGCTTCAGCATCAGTCCTTCCAATGAACACCCAAGACTGATCTGCTTTAGGATGGACTGGTTGGATCTCCTTGCAGTCCAAGGGACTCTCAAGAGTCTTCTCCAACACCACAGTTCAAAAGCATCAATTCTTTGGCGCTCAGCTTTCTTCACAGTCCAACTGTCACATCCATACATGACCACTGGAAAAACCATAGCTGTGACTAGATGGACCTTTGTTAACAAAGTAATGTCTCTGCTTTTTAATATGCTATCTAGGTTGGTCATAACTTTCCTTCTAAGGAGTAGGCGTCTTTTAATTTCATGGCTGCAATCACCATCTGCAGTGATTTTGGAGCCCATAAAAATAAAGTCTGACACTGCTTCCACTGTTTCCCCATCCATTTCCCATGAAGTGATGGGACCAGATGCCATGATCTTAGTTTTCTGAATGTTGAGCTTTAAGCCAACTTTTTTACTCTCCTCTTTCACTTTCATCAAGAGGCTTTTTAGTTCCTCTTCACTTTCTGCCATAAGGGTGGTGTCATCTGCAATGTTTAGTTCATGTTAAATGGACACAAACATCCTAGAACCCACCCGAGGTGGGAAGACTTCATCACACCAAGTGCACCAGTGCATCTGCCCCCTTGATTGGATTGGTTCATCAACGCAGTGCATCAGCCTGCCCTGAAGTTGTGGACGGGGAATGAAGTTGCTGGAGCTTGACACTTGCTGTCATATACGGTCACTATATAAGCCCAACCAGGACACAGGCACACGGAGAAACCCCTCCTCGGGTTAACTGCTCCCCTCTCTCTCAGGCAAGAACTGGGGGCGTCCGAGAAAAGTCCCTGCTCCGATGAAGACTCCGGCCACTCCACTGGCATGGCATCAGTGTAAGAACTGACACTGCCGTTCCCCAGAGGTGCAGATGGGTTAAGAAGGTTCTGTCACATCTTTGGGGCAAACGTAGAGAGACGTTTCTTTGCCTGATGGAGACGATGGGCCACTTCAGTGTGAGCGCTGCCGCCATTCTACCACTGCCCCAGTGACACTGTCACTTGATCCCTGCCGCCTATAATCCTGTCTCATGGCCAAAGGAAGCCAGAAACCACAGCTTTGCAAACAAATTCCACGATGACCCACACAGAGGTACCTTGCCTGGGTAAGCAGATAATCTGAAGATTTTCAATCATGAACAACAGAGCAAAAAGCATTCAGAAAACCACTGAGCAAACAACCAAATGGACACCCACCCCCCCACCCCAAGTCACTTCACGTTCCTATACTGGAGTCTTCAAAAGCTTCAATGCATGAAAATGACTTATAAATGCTCTATTTCCTAACCCTTCTCCCAGGGTGCAAAGAGGTGCACAAGATACAACAGTCTTATATGATGCTCACAGGCCTACTGGAACAACCCCCGTTTTCACTGAAGACTTCTCTGGCATCATTTTGAAAGGACACAGAGAAACATCTCTTCCTGTTTTGCTCCCATGATGACAGCCATGCAGAGAATCAAAGGAGACCCCCAACAAAAGGAATCTAGAGAAATGGACCCCATGGCACCACCACACGACCACATAAGAAAATAAGGCACAGGCTCTGTCAAAAAACGAGGCTCTGCTCTGTGAGTTTTCTGTGTAGTGTTTCCTTAGCAGGAAAACTTGGTGTCCGTGATGCACGGTCAGGGCACTGGCTTGGCTATAACTGATGCCATAATTATATTAAATGGTAACTAGAGAAGTGTGGGGGCTTCCTGGGTGGCTCAGGAGGTAAAGCATCTGCCTGCAATGCGGGAGACCTGGGTTTGATCCCTGGGTTGGGAAGATCCCCCGGGGAAGGAAATGGCACTCCACTCCAGTATTCTTGCCTGGAAAATTCCATGGACTGAGGAGCCTGGTGGGCTACAGTCCATGGAGTCACAAAGAGTTGGACACGACTGAGCGACTTCACAGACAGACAGAGAACTGTGGGCAAAGAACATGACCTGCCATTCGTAAATAATGCATGTTGCCCACCATCAAGCCCTCAAAGCCATGGCAGCCAGCTCAACAGTGCACCCTGAGGGGAAGTCAGCTTGGAGAAAAACACACATGGGCCCTGGACAGTTAAGATGCATATCTAAGGGATGATTTCAATGAGCCCAGACTGTACCATCTTCCTATACAAAGGAAGGCACTAAAATCATTAACTTGAGATGTCTATTTTCTGTGTCTGTGGTTAGCAATACTCTTTTGATGTTTCACTATATTTTTGTTTTTTTTCCCAGAAAAAACTGCTATACATCCTGGCTCCCCTGACCTCTTTGGAACAGTCACTTAGCGCTATCTAAGAGGCTGCTCTCCCAGGCTATAGTTTTCTGTATGTGCTCAATCAAACAATTTAATTCTCAACTTTTGGAGTGTGTATTTTTTTTTTCTACAGTTGACAGAAGGAAGGTGCTTACTCCTAGGCACAGTTTGATAATTCAAAAATGTGATAACTTTTTTTTTTAAATCACAATTCAATTGTGAGTCAAAGTTAAAGTTCCTGATCTATTATCAATTCCTACTCTGGATTCTGATCATCTGCTGCATTATAATAATTACAGAATATTGTTTGTGTTCATTCCAGTCTTCTCAAACCAATACTGGAAGGTGACTTGCTGCTCTGTTCAATCAAAGGGCAAAAGAAGAGGACTGTCATGCTTACCACGTGCTGCAACTCTGGTCTGTCTTCTAATTCTTCCACTACTTTTTTAATCTATAGGAAAAAAAATTAAATGTAGAGTTATGAGGATACAAATACAGCTGTGAAATTATCTGATAAACATCTCTCTTCTTTATGGTGATAGTGGTCTTAGACACTCATCTGTTTCAATTCATATAAAGGCACTCACTGAAATTTTATCTTCATTGTCCAGAAGCATGTCAACAGCTTTCTGCAATATGAAAAAAAACCCAGTCACTAAAATTTGCCACAGAAAAAGAGAACACAGAACATAATGTGTTATATATGGTATCACCATGAAAGGCAAAGGGCCTGTTTTACAAGGGTAAGAGGGTTCTTAGCTTTAGAATGGTTCTTGAAATATTTCTAAATGTATTTTAAAATTTGTTTCAATCTGCAGTCTCTGTGTTTTGCATACAATATAAAATGGTGCTGTGCTACAACTCACAACACAAAGCATTTGTATTATTGCTGGCACCCCAAAAAAGAGCTTTCTTTCTGACCACGTAAATATTGATGGAGTCCCTCTACAGATTCCACAGATATAAGGAGCGGGTCTTATGTGGAGAAGAGGCTAAGACACACAACGGGGAATTAAAAAAAAAAAAAGACACCTGAAGCTTCATAATAGTATAAAGCTTACAGATTTATAGAATTGAGTTTAGCTACCTTTATCATTCATGAAACACAAGTTAGACTGTTTGTAACAAGAGGTGGTACCAGACTCAGCCTCATACAGAGTCCCTGGGTCTTGTTCTGGATTCTGCTATTACATTGCCTACCTGTCTGCTGCACTTTTTTTCCTGAAACATTAGGATGTTGGAAGAGATTACCCTTAAGTTATTTTCTAATTAGAAAGTGATGTGATTCCTTGAGTTCATGCTCTTGAATAGCAATGAATTTGAACTCATTCATCTTTTGTCTCCAGCTTCATATGCAAAATAAGCTCTTGAGACACATGAGGGGTGGGTCCGTCATAAGGGGAGACTGGTTATGGGAAATTAATTTCTATATAAGTTGTTCATCCCCTTCATCATCTTCTGCCAGAGAAGCAGAACCTCTGCACCTGAACTTCCTGGGAACTGCACTATTTTTAGATCTGTACTCCCTAAGGACTTGACTCATTCAGTATGAAAAATGGGCGTTAGCATCTTTCATAAAAAGTAGTAGATTTAGCTTCTATTTAAATTAAGTGTAAGTGTGTGAATTCTCATACACAGCATCTAATGGATACATAATATAGCACATAATACCCCTAGATACAGTAAAATAAAATTTTAAAAACTCCAAGTAACCTTTTTGGAGCCTTAAGTGTCCTACTCTGATTTATCTAAAATTTCAGTCTTTCGAGTAACAGCTACTGTGTTTTATGAATCTCTTTCTTTTCATCACTAGCACTTGGCATTAACTTTCTTTTCTAAAATACATACAAACAATTTGTATCACTTTACAAGACCCACTGTGAGATGTGGAGGCTGGGTGCCCTCATCAGACAGAAGTCAAAGTGTTAGTTGCGTAGTCGTGTCTGACTCTTTGTAGCCCTCCAGGCTCCTCTGCCCCTGGGATTCTCCAGGTAAGAATACTGCAGTGGGTGGCTGTTCCCTTCTCCAGGGGGTCGTCCTGACCCAGGAATCAAACACAGGTCTCCCACATGGCAAGCAGATTCTTTACCATCTGACCCACCAGGGAAGTCATCAGACAAACATCCCACTATTCAAATCCACTTTATTATGAAATATTACATCCCACATGTTCTGGCCTGAGCATCATCTGAGATCAATGGAAACTCCACATGCTAAAGCTGTGAATGCCAAAGAATAAAAGTGCACCAAACAGACCAGAATAGTTTACATACAGCTTGAATTCTGGGACATAAAATTAAGAGGACTGAATGAGCTAAAGCATATGGCTAGTTTCTCTGTTCCTATGAGTTACAATGAACTGTTTTACTAAAAAAAAAAAAAAAAATTACTTTACATACACACAACTTTAAAAGTTCCACATCAAGTTATGATTGCTTTACAGAAAAACTGCATCAACTAAAGGAGTCCTGAATGCCATCTACTAAAGGAACATCCAGCGAGGGTCATGGTGTTCTGAAGAGTTAGCATACAACAGGTTATGTGATTTATTAACTACTCCAGCATGTGGACAAATGTCTATTAAAAACTTGGGACAGCACAAATAATTTATTAGTAAAATAAGAAACACATTATAACTGATTCACTCTGCTGTATACTTGAAACTAACATACACTATAAATCAACTATACTCCAATAAAATTTTTTAAAACTAAAGAAATCTGAAAAAAAGAAAAAGAAACATTACCTCAGAATCAAAATCCATTAATAAAACAATTTTATCCTTGATAGAACTGAAAAGATTATGTTTGTGGATCAATTGGAAAACATCCTTATGTCTTAACGTTAGGTATATTTCCAAAGCATTGCCATAGTTTTTGTCATAGGTGTACCTGGTAAGACAAAAAGTTTTTACATTAATGTTCATCAACACTTCTAATAAAACATGAAGATATACTCAATAAATCATGTTTTACTTTAATGAAAACTGAAAAACTTGTTCAGAGAGAAAAATTAACTTTATTTAGAAGAGTGTTCCTTGGGACTGAACTAGATGTGACCAGTAAGTATTTCTTTCTCAGAACCTTGAGAAAATATTAGAAAATTGAAAATATTCTATTGTCAATATTCTGTCAATATAGACAAAAACTAATTTCTTACAGAAAACTCTCAAAATGTTTTATAGAAATTGATATATAATGAAATTATGACCCCAAATGAAGGAAATTCTTATTCTAGTAATAGAAAAATCAGTTACAATTCTTACAAGCAGTATTCAGCTGACAGATGGGTGATATTCCAAAAGCTTATCTGTAAGGAGGTTGTATAAAATTCAAATGTGTTTTTGTGTTGAAACAATGTTTTTCACAATGCTTAATTTCGCAAGTCAGCTCCTAAAGGCCAACTGATGCTAAGCCGCATTGGGTCCATTATTAGTACCACAGAATTATCAGTACTATTAGTACAGTGTTAGTACCTAAAGAATCCAAGGAAAACTAGAACAATGTTTCCAGAAGAAAATGATTAGTATTCCAACTCATTGCCACAAACAAAACTCCTTTCATGGAAAGTCTTAAACAGCCCTGAATTCTAGGCCTGGTCTTGGGCAAAAGAGGTAAGAGTGATGGAAGGATTTGTCTGAGATGGTGGGAGTGTGAGGAGGGACTGAAGCAGGACAGTCTTCCTGAGGTTAACTGCAATGTGCTTCTTTTTTCACTAATCACAGGTCCTAGAGCACACGTGGACCTTATCTGTCTGCATCTCAGGCAGTTAGCACAAAGCCCAAGTCACTGAAAGTGCCCCAAAATACAAAAAGCATTGACCAAGCTTCCATATTCTGAGACCTGACTCAATGCCAAGCACTGCACTTAGTTCTTGATAAAGAAATTCATGAAAACTAACCCATACGGAATTGCCCCGTGATCTTATAGATAAAGAGCCTACAGTTTAGGAAGCTTACTAACTTGCAGACCCAAGAATGACAGAAACCCGAGCCTCAATGGGAAAATGACTTGCTGCAGTAGTCTAAGACCTGGCGTCCTTTCCTCCCCAAACAACTGCCTCCACCGAGTGGTGCTGACCAGAGTTCCTCTCCTCTGGGAAATAAATTACAATTATACAGTCTCACACATTTCCCTTACCGTACCTTCTAGCTGTACACTGGAGGCTTATGAAAAGTTTTCTACTAAGAGCGAATATAGGAAAATGGTACATACAAACTTGCATTCTCCCAATTCAGTTTGCCAGATCTAAAATATGAAAACTTTTCATGATGATTGATTTGGGCAAAAAAAAAAAAAGCATTAAAATATACTCACAATTCTGCCAGGGTTTTAAGTAAGGTCCTGTTCTGACTATCTTTCTTCAGGTGATCCCGAACCGCTTGAACTATTACTGAATTGTTGTACAGATCTCCTGGCCATTCTCGGATCAATGTGGCAAAACCCTAACCAAGGGGGAAAAAACAGAACACTCTTTAAAAAGGAAAGAAATCCCAAGAATTCAAACAATGCCTGAAAAGTTTTCATGGAAAACACACAAAACCATTTTATGATGAAAACATTGGTCCATAAACATATCATCAGTTTTCAGACTATGGGTTTGGTGGTGGCAAGGGAGGCAGTGAAAGATCACATATCCATTTCCATTGGCCATTCCTGAGAAGAGAAGTGGGCAGAACCATCCCTGCTCTTATTATTGGATGAAATGCACGAGGAAGCGGGGCCCCGGGGTCCTTCCATTAGGCACCACTGCACAGAGTTTAGGTCTACTTGCTCTCTCCTCATTGTGAACTAACTGTAACACCGGAAGGCATTCTTTGACATCTTACAGATACTGTCCAAGTCAGCTGCACAGCCAGCCCTCGGCACATGGCAGCTTTGCTCCCATGGTGGAATCACCCAGCATCCCACGTTCAGCAAGTTATCATCTCCATCTTCCTTCCACTGGGTGCCTCTAAATCTAGTTTTGTTTAGGGATTTGGGACGTTGGTTCAAGTCTTATCCCCTGCTCTTACCCTGACTCTTTCTGGATTTCAAATTTGTGGTTCTCATAGAAAATTCCAGATCCCTTGATTGAATCCTGTCTCCAGTGCTGTGGATCCTGTCTCCAGAGCTTTCCAGTGCTGTGAGCCAGTGTCCTGGGCAGCCTCTGCCATGATGATCCCTAACTTTAGCCCTTGTCACTCAATGTGCTGGGGAGCAGTTTACTTACTGATCTTTGGCAACTTTTAGGGAAAAAAAACAAAACAAAACAAAAAACCTTAGATGTTTCTATAGATAGAAGAAATAAAAATATTCACATTATTGAAAAAATTATTAGTATTAAATAACTCAATGAATGCCTTAATGAGGCTTCGCTGGTGGCTCAGATGGTAAAAAATCTGCCTGCAATGCAGGAGATCAGGGTTCAATCCCTGGATCGGGAAGATCCGCTGGAGAAGGGAATGACAGCCCACTCCAGTATTCCTGCTGGAGAATTCCACGGACAGAGGAGCCTGGTGGGCTACAGTCAGACAGGACAAAGAGTCAGACACGACTGAGTGACTATCACTTTACTTCAGTGCCTTAATGAACTACTTTTAATTGGTTTAAATGATACTTAGAAATGAAAACAGCATGGTGGAATTTGCTTCTGTAAAGTACTAGGATTTGGTAAGGAGAAAACTCATGAAAGAGTCAGGAAAATAGTTTCAAGTCCAGTTTCTACTCAAGTATCCCCTGGGAAGGATGGCAAGAGATCAGAACAACAGGCTGTGTATTTTCTATTCAGACTGCAACTTTCCTTCATGTGACCCTGACTACAGTGTGATCTGTGAGATTTGGGAAGGAGAGTCACTCAGTAAAGAGGGCATATTTTATAAAACCACTGAATCACAACATTAAAATATTCTCTGAATCAAAATGATACTTTGGAGCAAGTACAAAGGATCAAGTTTCTGTTTTCTTAAGGCTCTGTAATTTATAAGATTAAAAGAAAAAAGTCCTGACAAGATTTCTACCCCAGTACTAGCAATTCTCAGTAGCCCTGAGACCAGGAATAATACTATTCAGGGAAAGATGAAAGCTTGGCTCCTTTTTTATTTTCCTGATTCAGTTAATAGCCAACTGCAGCACTGCCAACTTCTGATGAAAATAAGACAAAATGACCGGTCACACTGTGATTAAAAACGAGACGACTCCAACATAAACTGAAATAAACACTTATCACATTTCACATTAGGCTATTCTCTGCTTAACTGATTTTATGTACCTCTGATTAAATTAAATCACTAAATATGTGATTAAATATGATGAAAAATACTGATGAAATTACCCTGAAGCTTTTATTAATAATTAGAAGATACAGTTATCAGGGAGTTATTAGGATCCAGTGGCAAAGTAAGAGAATCCCCTGGCGCCCGTCAGAGGAAGTAAAAGGTTAAGGACTATTCATTAAACGAAATGCCACAAAAATCACCCCATTCTTATCATGCTTATATATGTTGTTAATATTATGAAGCAAGGCTTAACTATTTAAATAATTCTAGTAGGCTGTAAATTAAAAATTAAATTTAAAAATTTCAGTAGAAACTCCATACAAAGAAATCATGAAGCACCAGTACCTTCAAGGAAATACTTTTAATTTCATATATATTTTTATTATATTTTTAATCAATGTTTAAAAAATAATTTGCTTTTGGCTGTGCTGGGTCTGGCTGCAGGCTCTTCTCTAGTTGCAGAGTGGGGGCTACTCTCTAGGGGTGGAGCACAGGCTTCTCCTGGCGTTGGCTTCTCTTGGTGCAGAGTGTGGGCTCCAGGGAGCTCGGGCTTCAGCAGCTGCCGCTCCCAGGCTCTAGCACACCTGCCCTATAGTTGTGGCTCATGGGCTTAGTTGCTTCAGGGCATGTGAGATCTTCCTGGACCAGGGACTGAACCTGTGTCTGCTACATTTGCATTGGCAGGCAGATCCTTTACCACTGAATCACCAGGGAAGCCTCTTATATTTTTATTTTTAATCTGACCTTTAGTACTATTTAGAGGCACAGAATTTTCATCCACATTATATGAGATCAAGTGTTGCTACACAACACTGCTATCTGATCAACTCTGTGACAGTTTAACTCAAAACTAAACATGAAACTGAGAATGATGGGAGCTAAAATATGAATTACTTACAAGAGCTTATGACAAAACCAAATTACTCATAAACTTCTTAATAATAATGATGAGGAAGATACCCTAAAACATTCAGCAAAAAAACATCTATAAGCTTTAAGTTATGCTTATTTCTTCCACTCACAGTCGAAAGTTTTCCAGGTATGAATCAACAAGATACCTTTAATGATATAGTATTTAAAAGTTTCTGGAAAAAAATAAGGGTTGAATCATAAATGGTAAGAGAATCACACAAATAATAAAATCGCTTTTTTCTACTGTTAAATTACTTTAAAAAGAGGACAAGTATACTAAGCTTTGGTATTTTGAAATAAAGTTCATATTCTTTCCATATTTTGACAGAACACTCATAATTCTTTTTTGGGGGGAAGATGTACAAAGATGGAATGTTTATGACAATTATTCTAGGTACTCAGAACATACTGGAAAGAAACAGGAACAGTCTATTACAAGTCTTTTTTCACTGAAGAAACCTTTTCCAATAACTGCAGCCAATAATGACCTCTCCTTTTTTTATATAACACATTACTCTGCCTGTTTTACATATTTTCTAGTTACTTGAAGCTTATTTATATGGTGTCCCCAGTCTGTAAACCCACTGAAGGCTGGGACTGTGTGTTCCTCTTGGATCCAAATGAGTACTCAGCCCAGTCCTCGACCATGGTAGGTTCTAAAGATGTGTTGAATTGAACTGAATAGAAAATAAATAGGAACCATGCTCCTAGACTGCATGAGTTAGAACCTAGCATAAATGGCATACACTATTACCATAAACTCTTCTGTACAGATCTAGCAAGGAATAGATCCAGGATGGGAGGGAAGACTGGATTATGACACTAGAACATATGCTAATAAGAAAAGAACATGAATAAATTCTGCCCCATTAGTATGTACAATTAATAAATAAATATTTTTTTCAATTTTAATTCATACTAAAGCACTTAATCCCTCCCTATGATAAAAATACAGGCTTATAACAGTAAAAGAGATACGCTGGTGATGCAGGCATTGGAATGCTTGAACTGAACATATCCAGGAACACTTGGCTGACAGCAACTGACCAAGTCCTTGTGTTATTAAAGGATTACAATCTTAAAAGTCCCTTTAGATCTTAAGCTCTAAAAATAATCTCAGAGTGAGAATGTAGTATTTGCATTATGACTTCTCTTTAAATGGACTCAGTTATTGGTTAAAAAAGTGCCCGAGCAGGCACTCAAAACACAGTTCTTTTTCTCATGCCCTCTCTGATTGCCTCTTTCTATTTCTATTAACCTTAGTATTTGCATTATGACTTCTCTTTAAATGGACTCAGTTATTGGTTAAAAAAGTGCCCGAGCAGGCACTCAAAACACAGTTCTTTTTCTCATGCCCTCTCTGATTGCCTCTTTCTATTTCTATTAACCTTTCTGCAAGCTTCCACACATTCTTGTGGGAAGGAGAAAGTTATAAATAAAGTCTTCCTTATTTTCAAAATATAACATCAGAATGTGTGAAGGCAAGGACAACCCCTAACACACTGTGAGGTACCGAATATGAAAACAGATCACTGGGTTCGGCTCCTGAACATTAGTAGGAGCTGAAGATGGCACCACTTTTATGAAAGACTGTGAAGGCTGGACAGAAGCTGGAGAATAGGAGCCCAGGGTCTGCAGTCTACCAGGGTATGGCTCCTCCCAGCAGCAGAACTTACCAGCCTTGTCTAGAACCTGCCCACCAGAAATCTCATCTTTCCTTCTGGTCAGAAGTAGAAGGCTGAGTATTTCCATAGAGTTTCGTGGATAGCCTTATGAGAGCACCTGGCATATGATGTAATAATTTATCTGTTTATCTTTGCAACCTCAGTCCTGCTGACATGTAAGGACAGAATTCTTGGTCATAGGGAGCTATCCTGTGCATTGAAGGATGTTTAGCAGCATCCTGCTGGCCTCTACCTACTAAATGCCAGTGTTGCCAATTTCCCAGTCATGACAACTAAAAATGTCTCCATCACCAAATATTTCTGAGCGGGTTGGGGGTGGGAGGGCAGGCTGCCCCTGTTGAGAACGGCTGGTTTACGTGCTTGGGTGTGACTAAGACTATGAGCTATTGCTAAATGCACATCATTTCATTCATACCTGCATGCCTAGTGCCTAGCACATTCCTGGAATACAGCATGCATGAAACAGATTTTCTGAATAAATGTGTGTTAAAGGAACAACTTTAAAAACTGTAATCCATTTTGGGAGACTTCCCTGGCGGTCTAGTGGTACGACTTCGCACTTTTACTGCCAAGGGCCCGGGTCTGATTCCTGGTTGGGGAATTAAGATCTCGCAAGCCATATGGCATGGTCGGGGAAAAAAAAAATCCATTTTGGGTGCATGGAAACACCAAATTTAAATTCAAACCTAGGCATGCCTAATATATATGGCCACGGGCAGGTTATTTCTTTAATCTTTAGTTCTCTGTAAAATTGGATATTACTAGGTATAGTGTTGTTGCGAGTATACCATCACAACAGCAAGTAAAAGTGCAGAGTATATAGTAGATAAGCAATTTAAGTACCAGTTTTCTCCTTAATCAATAAGCAAACCGATCACTTCCAATTCCCTTCCTGCCTCCCAACTTCTCTGATCCTCTTTTGGCAAAACTCTGAGTTTCAAAAAGTTCTACATTCTTTAGGGTAGTTAGAAGCATTGTTAGCAGATGCTATTCTATCTCTGAAAACCCCCAAATGGTACTTGATCCTTTTCCTTTAGCTCTATCAAGAAGCTAGCTTTAAGAAAATCTTCAAAATGTCCACAGATTATAGACATTTTCTCTAACAAGGTGTACACATTTTTAATTGTCATCAGAGTGTATGTACCCCCAGTTTCATCAACCACACAGAAGCTGTAATGCTGTTGCCTTTAAACCAGCTGCTCCACTGTGCTATTTTTCTAGATTTCTTACCATTTTCCACTGAGAACAAGATGACCATGTTAGAATGTCATACCTCATAGTCACTTTCCAAAAATTCATGTAAGATCATTTCATAAATGAGTGGTTTCAGAACTGGATCCCCTCTTGGCAAATAAGGACTAATTGCCTAAGAAAAGAAAAAGAAAAAGAAAAAACTTAAAAAAGTAGCAAAGTAAAACTGTACTGCAATAGGCAACAAATATAAAAGTATACATTTACTTTAAATTTTAAGGCAATAGAGTACTTTGGAAAAATATTACAAAGATAAAAGATTCAAATAAGCTCTTTTTATAATATATTTTTAAAAGTACATATGGGGTGTCTACATGTATGAATAAATTTGAATCAAAAAAATTCCCTCTGTTAAGTAAACTTTCTCTCTTCTTCTTGATGAATTAATGAAAATCTAAGTTATAAGAGAGAATGTCACAGAAGTTACATGATATCTATTCATGTTTTGAAATTAAGGGGAAATACATCTTGTGTTTTTAGCTTTTTCAGTGCTGTATTAAAAGTTTCCAATTTCCAAACACTTGAAAATAGCTCCGCAATGCACTACCTTACCAATCACCATGCTCTGTCCTGGGGACCCAGAACCTGGGGCACTGTCCCCAGGAGCTCACAGCCTCAGAGGGAAGATATGCTGATATCTAAACAGCCATTTTCACGCTAAGTGTCTTGAAAGAAGGATGAACAGGGAGATGTGGAGAGGTGGATCTTGGAGACTGAGCAGAAGTTAACAGATGCCAGGGGTCTGTCAGGCAGAGAGAGAAGGGCAAGGCCACCCTTGCAGAGGGAACAGCAGGGGTAAAGGCATGGAACCATGAGCACCCACTATGCATGCAGGGAGGTCAGCATGGCTTGGAGATGGGGCTCAAGAGAAAGCTGAGAGGGGGTCATGAAAGGAATCTGGATTGATATTTTCAGCAGGAGGGGATGAGAGGAACATGCTTATTTTTTCAAATAGCTAATTCCGGGTTGGGCTTCCCCTGTGGCTCAGTGGTGAAAAATCTGCCTGCAATGCAGGAGACTTGGGTTTGATCCCTGGGTCGGGAAGATCCCCTGGAGAATAAAATGGCTACCCACCCCAGTATTCTGGCCTGGACAGAGGAGTCTTGAAGGCTTGTGAGACCATGGGTTTAACAAAGGATTGGACATGACTGAGCAACTAACATGTTCACTCTGGGTTAGGGCTGTCCACAGATCTACCAGAAGGCCCTTGTAAGAGCTCAGGCGGGAGTTAAGGCAGTTGTACTGGAGGGGCAGGAAAGGCCCAATAATACTGATGATGTGAAACTGACAAGGACTGGCAATTAAATAGGAGGAGGAGGTAAGATACATGTTCTCATCAGGACAGTGGCTTTGAGCTATTAAACATGGAGAAATAGGTATATTGTGATGTCATACACACAGATTGAAAGGAGAAAGACCATGCTTAAGTGGGAATGGAGTCACACTTAATTTGCGTGACCATTATCAGCCATATGTACACACAAGGAAAAATGGCCACCACAAACTTCCAACACAGATATGGAATTCATACGGAGTTCTGAGGGATGGAGCCATCATGGTAAAAATGGCCATAGGACTGGAGAAGACCCTCTAGGACTGGCCCAATAAACATGACCATAAGTGTCCTTGAGGGTCTCCCAGAGAAGACTTATATTTATGGGGCAAGGACAGGATGAGGTACGGGGCTGGCCAGCTGAATAACTGCAGTTTTTAAAAGCATATTTATAATTCTAGGAGAGCACTATAAAGGCTCACAAAAACTGAAAAGTGAAAATGTTTCACACATACCTACAGGCACAGGAACACTTTACTGATTAGTTTGAATATTGTACACTAAATTGAAAGATTAAAGAAATGAAATATCAAAATTATTTGTTGGAGCTACCTGGTCAAAATGTTTCGTCTATCTTCCAGTAAGTAAAATACTGGAAAACGCATTAATTATTCAGTACATGTGAAAAAAGCCTTCTGTTTATAATCTACTATGATGAGACCATACCTGTTTCCCATGCTCATTAAAAAGAACATTAAAACTTCATCTGAACACCGAGGGAATTGGAGGGAGATAAGACAGTGAACATATCGTACATGTAATAAATATGAACCAGGCTTCTGTTTTGTAACTAATTTCTAAAAGTTTTTCTTTCTAGTTGAAATGGTACTCGCTTCCCAATAAAGAACTGATTACTACTGTCTTAATTTTATTTCCATTTCAATATTAATATTGTTGTCATTGTTCAGTCACTAAGTCATGTTTGACTCTTTTGCGACCCCGGGGACTGTAGCCTGCCAAGCTCCTCTGTCCACAGAATTTGCCAGGGAGGAATCTTGCAGTGGGTTGCCATTTGCTTCTGCAGGGGATCTTTCCAATCCAGAGACTGAACCCGAGTCTCCTGCACTGGAAGGTAGATTCTTAACCGCTGAGCTGCCTGGGAAGCCCTCAATATTAATATACTACATACAAAAATTAAGAGTTAAAAATAAAGTTTGCTTACCTTAAGCTGTCCAATTTCTTTAAATTTATAAACTTCATATTCCCAGAGTGCTGCATTTTTCCCAAGAATTTTCTGGCATTTGCTGGTTGTAAAAAACATCCCAGGGAGAAAGAAAGTATAAATAAAGAAAATAAACAGAGACAGAATAAGCAGGCATTTCCCCTAGTGGTTTAGATAAATCTCTCATCCCAGAGTTTTGACAAATTTCCATCTCAAGTGCCAATGAACATAAAGGTATTTATTACTGGTACTCACTTGACTGCATGTGAGTTGATGGAAATCAAGAAAATACAAAATACTTATACATAAAGATGAATCCCTTTCAGAAGACTTTGATAAGGGTTTCACAAATGATTTTCCTGTTCTGTGTTTCCTACTTAACCAGATGAATGCTGCTAGTTTGGGGACCCTTTATGCCTTGAAGAAATACCATCATACCTATAAGTATCCATTTAAACCAATTCTTCACTGGCTTTAAATAATGGACTACAAAATCAGACTTTAGAACATTAGAATTCTACCTCAGTGCATAATACGGAAAAAATGTTTATGTATGAATAAAACTTTGATTTACACATCACAGAAATACATTTCCCTAAATCAGGGGACAAAAATGTAGGCCTGAAGACTATCTTTCCAGGCTGCCTTATAAAATGGGTAAAATCTCAGACTGTTCATGTTTTTTGACCTCTCTTTCATTGAGAAAAACATTTTTCATTTGGTAAAAATGAGACAGTAGGTGCGTAAATAACATATCAATTCATTCTGTGGTTAAAACTATTATTATTCGAAATTACCCATTACAAAAATGTAAACAAAAAAAGGTCAGTTGTAAAAAATGACTTATTTGTATTGCTAATATGGCTCGATTCTATTTATATTAACAAATAATTGTGAAAACATCTTGATTACCGTGCTGCTATATCATACTCTCCTTTTGCCACGAGATGGTTTATATACGCCAAGCCGATGTCCTAGGGAAAATGAAACGAAGGAATTTCATAATGAACTGGAATGCATGGAGGGTGAAAAAGTTGGTTTAAAGTTCAACATTCAGAAAACTAAGATCGTGGCATCCAGTCCCATCACTTCATGGCAAACAGATGGGAAAACAGTGGAAACAGTGTCAGACTTTATCTTTTGGGGCTCCAGAATCACTGCAGATGGTGACTGCAGCCATAAAATTAAAAAGACACTCCTTGGAAGGAAGGTTATGACCAACCTAGATAGCATATTAAAAAGCAGAGACATTACTTTGCCAACAAAGGTCCGTCTAGTCAAGGCTATGGTTTTTCCAGTGGTCATGTATGGATATGAGTTGGACTATAAAGAAAGCTGAGTGCAAAAGAATTGATGCTTTTGAGCTGTGGTGTTGGAGAAGACTCTTGAGAGTCCCTTGGACTGCAAGGAGGTCCAACCAGTCCATCCTAAGGACTGATTAGTCCTGGGTATTCATTGGAAGGACTGATGTTGAAGGTGAAACTCCAATACTTTGGCCACCTGATGCGAAGAACTGACTCATTTGAAAAGACCCTGATGCTGGGAAAGATTGAAGGCAGGAGGAGAAGGGGACGACAGAAGATGAGATGGTTGGATGGCATCACCAACTCAATGGACACTGGTTTGAGTGGACGCTGGGAGTTGGTGATGGACAGGGAGGTCTGGCGTGCTGCGGTTCATGGGGTCGCAAAGTCGGACACGACTGAGCGACTGAACTGGACTGATGGAAAATTGGGTCTCAGTTCCTGAGTGAGCCATGACATTGGGTCACACTAGCACTGCTGACAAGAACCTATTCATACTATACCTCAGTTTGCTATATGTAATTATGCTCATTTCTTTCTCAATCATATTTGAATACACTTGTATTTTCACAAATTTTAGAATTCATAATTTTTTTAAGAGAGGGAGGAGCCAAGATGGCGGAGGAATAGGACGGGGAGATCACTTTCTCCCCTACAAATTCATCGAAAGAACATTTGAACGCTGAGCAAATTTCACAAAACAACTTCTGATCGCTAGCAGAGGACATCAGGCGCCCAGAAAAGCAGCCCATTGTCTTCGAAGGGAGGTAGGACAAAATATAAAAGATAAAAAGGGAGTCAAAAGAGCTACAGACGGAGACCCGTCCCGAGAAGGGAGTCTTAATAGAGGAAGTTTCCAATCACCAGGAAACCCTCGCACTGGCGGGACTGGGGGAAGTTTTCGGCAATCTAACTGGGAGGAAAAATTAAACAAGGCCCACAGATTACGTGCCTAAAAGCAACTCCCAGCAGAAAAGTACCCCAGACGCCCGCACCCGCCAGCAACAAGCGGGGGCGGAACGGAGAGGAGCGGGCGGCATTGCTTAGGGCCCGAACACACTGCCGGCGGTTCGCAAAACAAAGGGACTGAGAAACTCCAGAGAAGAGCCGGCCCATCCCCGCTGGAGGTAGGAGGCGGGGGGGAGGGGAAAAGGGCAAACTCAGCCCCTGAGAAGCCACCCCCTCCCACACTGCAAACAGGCCCCCGGTTCCTATCTAAAGACTTCCTGAGACCCGACTGGCGGCGCGCGCTGGGGCCGCGGAGGGAAAAGGCGCGCCGCACCCGGGGAGAGTGCGCCCAAGCCTCTGGCTGGCTGAGCCGCTCACCGCAGAGGGAAAAGGCGCGCCGCACGCAGGAAGAGTGCGCCCAAGCCCCTGGCTGCCTGAGCCGCTGAGGCCGGGGAAGGCACAAAACGCAGACGCAACCGAATCCGCGCTTTTGTGGAGTACCCGAAAACTGGAACCGCACTCAACGCAGGGCCTGCTCCATATAGAGCAGCCGGGAGCCTGAGCAGTGTAGACGGGGAAAGCACTGACACCCGTGAGCGGGGCAAACCCAGTGTGGCCGGAACACGGTGAGTGCTATCCACACAGAGCGGCATCTGTCTGCAGCGCCCCGCCCTCCCCGTAGCAGGACTGAACTGAACTAGAGAACCTAAATAAGAGATCACCTCCGCCCGCCTGTGTCAGGGCGGAAATTAGACACCAAAGAGACGGCAAACAGAAGCCAAATAAACAAAGGGAACCGCTTCAGAAAGGACTGGTGCAACAGATTAAAATCCCTGAAGGTAACACCGACTACACTGGAAGGGGCCTACAGATATCGAGAAGTGTAAGCTGGAAAGAGGAGCTATCTGAAATTGAACTGAACCTACGCTGACTGCAACAACTCCAGAGAAATTCCTAGATATATATGTATATATATTTTTTAATTAAAAAAAAAATTTTTTTTCTTTCCTTTTTTTCTTTTTTATTTTTTCTCTTTTATTTTCTTTTAAAATTCCCTATTACTCCCCCATTACTCCTCAACTTTCATTTTCATATATTTTTATGATTTTTTTAATTAGGGAAAAATTTTTTTTTTCTTTTTTTTCTTTTTCTTGTTTTTCTCTCCTATTTCCTTTTAAAGTCCTCTAATACTCCTCTATTATTCCTTAATTTTCATTTTCATTTCACTATAACCTTGCCAAAAAAAAAAAGAGAGAGAAACCCTATTTTTAAACCAAACTTCATATCCATTTCTAAATTTTTTGTGTTTTTGTTTTTGTTTTTAAATATTTTATTTCAAAGAGTCTAACCTCTACACTAGATTTTTAATCTTTGTTTTTCAGTATGTGATATAAATTTTGGACATTTAAGAATCCAATATTCAGTTCCCATTTCTATTCAGGAGTGTGGTGATTACTCTCCCACTTTTGACTCTCTGTTTTCTACCTCAGAACACCTCTATTTCCTCCTTTCCCCTTCTCTTCCCAATCCAATTCTGTGAATCTTTGTGGGTGTCTGGGCTACAGAGAACACTTTGGGAACAGATAACTGCGTAGATCTGTCTCTCTCCTCTTGAGTCCCCTTTTTCTCCTCCTGCTCACCTCTACCTCCTTCCTCCCTCTCCTGTTCTTCATGTAACTCTGTGAACCTCTCTGGTTGTCTCTCACGGTGGAGAATCTTTTCACCATTAACCTAGAAGTTTTATTATCAGTGCTGTATAGTTGGAAAAGTCTTGAGACCATTGGAAGAATAAAACTGAAATCCAGAGGCAGGAGACTTAAGCCCAAAACCTGAGAAAACCAGAAAACTCCTGACTACACGGAACATTAAGGAATAAGAGACCATCCAAAAGCCTCCATACCTACACCAAAACCAACCACCACCCAAGAGCCAATAAGCTCCAGTACAAGACATACCACGCAAATTCTTTAGCAACGCAGGAACATAGACCTGAGTGCCAACATACAGGCTGTCCAAAGTCACACCTAACACATAGACCCATCGCAAAACTCATTACTGGACACTCCATTGCACTCCAGAGAGAAGAAATCCAATTCCATGCACCAGAACGCTGACACAAGCTTCCCTAACCAGGAAACCTTGACAAACCAATCGTCCAACCCCACGCACTGGGTGAAACCTCCACAATAAAAAGGAACCTCAGACCACAAGAATACAGAAAGCCCACTCCAGACACAGCAATCTAAACAAGATGAAAAGGCAGAGAAATTCCCAACAGGTAAAGGAACATGAAAAAAGCCCACCAAGTCAAACAAAAGAGGAAGAAATAGGGAATCTACCTGAAAAAGAATTTAGAATGATAATAAAAATGATCCAAAATCTTGAAAACAAAATGGAGTTACAAATAAATAGCCTGGAGACAAAGATTGAGAAGATGCAAGAAATGTTTAACAAGGACCTAGAAGAAATTAAAAAAAAGTCAATTAAAAATTAATAATGAAATAAATGAGATCAAAAACATTCTGGAGGGAACCATGAGTAGAATAACAGAGACAGAAGATAGGATAAGTGAGTTAGAAGATAAAATGGTGGAAATAAATGAAGCAGAGAGGAAAAAAGAAAAAAGAATCAAAAGAAATGAGGACAACCTCAGGGACCTCTGGGACAATGTGAAACGCCCCAACATTCGAATCATAGGAGTCCCAGAAGAAGATGACAAAAAGAAAGGCCATGAGAAGTTACTCGAGGAGATAATAGCTGAAAACTTCCCTAAAATGGGAAAGGAAATAGCCACCCAAGTCCAAGAAACCCAGAGAGTCCCAAACAGGATAAACCCCAGGTGAAACACCCCAAGACACATGTTAATCAAATTAACAAAGATCAAACACAAAGAACAAATATTAAAAGCAGCAAGGGAGAAACAACAAATAACACACAAAGGGATTCCCATAAGGATAACAGCTGATCTATCAATAGAAACCCTTCAGGCCAGAAGGGAATGGCAGGACATACTTAAAGCAATGAAAGAGAATAACCTACAACCTAGACTACTCTACCCAGCAAGGATCTCATTCAGATATGAAGGAGAACTCAAAAGCTTTACAGACAAGCAAAAGCTGAGAGAATTCAGCACCACCAAACCAGCTCTTCAACAAATACTAAAGGATCTTCTCTATACAGGAAACACAGAAAGGTGGTATAAACGTGAACCCCAAACAACAAAATAAATGGCAACAGGACCATACCTATCAATAATTACCTTAAATGTAAATGGGTTGAATGCCCCAACCAAAAAACAAAGGCTGGCTGAATGGATACAAAAGCAAGACCCCTATATATGCTGTCTACAATAGACCCACCTCAAAACAAGAGACACATACAGACTAAAAGTGAAGGGCTGGAAAAAAATATTCCACGCAAACGGAGATCAAAAGAAAGCAGGAGTCGCAATACTCATATCAGATAAAATAGACTTTCAAATAAAGGCTGTGAAAAGAGACAAAGATGGACACTACATAATGATCAAAGGATCAATCCAAGAAGAAGATACAACAATTATAAATATATATGCACCCAACATAGGAGCACCGCAATATGTAAGGCAAACGCTAACGAGTATGAAAGAGGAAATTAACAGTAACACAAAAATAGTAGGAGACTTTAATACCCCACTCACAACTATGCATAGATCAACTAAACAGAAAATGAACAAGGAAACACAA